CAGAAAGAATCAATTCACGACAATATATATATATATATATATATATATATATTCTCTATGAAAATGGTAAATTTCAATGAATTACAGTAAATTAATTCACACTTATTGTTAGACACATAATTTGGCATAAATCTATCGTTAAATCCTATCGACATTCTTACGGCAAAGGATTAAAATAACCTGATTCGAATCGGATATTATTACAACTAACTTTGTACACGAATTCGTCGCGAAATTCTTCCTTTCGGAAAAAAAAAAAAAGACAATAGAACTATTATACAACGAACTAAAGAATCACGAGCTAAGACAGGACAGTGTTATTCAGCCATGCTTCACGTCGACGTACCGGAAATTGTAATAATATTCAACTAGTCTATAGCGCGGAACATCCAGCAATTTTTCCTTCCTCGAGAGTTCCCTCCTCGACTTAAAAATCTACGTAAAACGTTTCCCAAACCACCTTGACTCACAAATTAATCACTTTGTACAATCGATACACTCGATACTAGCTGAAAAAAACCCGTGGGAAACCGTTCGACAAATCCTGACATGAAAGGAACAAATAGTTAGTCCCACCATCGATTTATTTAGACTAATATTTATATATAATTTATATTATATTTATATATTCACTGTATGTACATGTGTAGTTTGGAAAATGCTAACATACTGGCACTTGATACCTTAAAGAGTTGAACAAGTAATTTGTACAATTTCAACAGGCTTGAGCATTATTCAAAACGATGAACTGAATAACGTTTTATTTCATTTAGCTACAGCGAACCAATAATTGTGAATCATTTTTCATTGCCATTAACATTAAAGTACACAAAAACTACGTCGATGATACATATGATAAAAAAAAAGCTTGTAAAACAGAATATAAAATTTTATTGCAATGTGGTGCGGCACACCTTTGATTCCATTTGGAATTTGTGAGAATTATTAAAACAGAAAGTATAAGACCTGCAAATGCTCATCGAGATTCTTGAACTTTAAAGAGAATCACAAGGTGAATATTAGCATATTATTAAAATTGAAAAATTTTATTGTACAAAATTAAATGTACATTTCTTGTTAGAGGCAACTAATAAAACAGTAAATTTAAAAAAAAAACTATTAGTATTGTCTCCAATTGCCCAAAACATTCATGTTCTGTATATCTTATGATTAACAATTTGTACAATTTATACGAAATTGATTCACTGATTATGTTTCTTATTACAATGTTACTTTTTCTCTGTTGCTTCTACAGTCGAAATAATTCATCACTCTGTTTCATTTCGAATAAAACGTTCCCAAGCCTGAGTTTCAACTTGCCTCGTTAAATCTCTTTGTCATCGATGGCGAGAATTATCTTTATTAAACTTTAACGCTCGATAATCACTTCTGTCACTGTAAAAACTTTGTTTGTAGGCCTTTAATGTATATCTTAAGATCGAGTATAAACACGAAGGAATCGTCGTTTCAGGCAGCATAGATCAATTCTTTGTTATGCAGCACGGTAGCACGGTTGCGTTCGATTAATTGCTTAAAAAAAAATCGACAGACGAGATTTTGTAATCAACAGATTACGAGTTTCGTTGCAGGAACAAACTCTGTTTGTGCATGCAACGTTGCATTAAATACTAGAAAAATGATCGTCGCGACTAAATGAACTCGACGAGAGATTATACAAACTGCCTCACCTAATACAACTTATCAAGAAATCTCTTGTATATTATATATTAGATCATCATTATATGGATAATGTTGTTATCATATCACAAAAGTATATCAGATGATTATAAGGAACTCGTTAATAATCAATTTCTTCTCTGTTAAACTTACTAAATAATAATAATTCTCATTATTTCAAATTCAACTTCAAGAAGGCTATATTCATAAGATGATCCAATATTTATATAAAAACGAAATAATAATCGTAGAACGACAATATCCTTCCCTTGTACTTGCTGTCATATACATGCTACTGAAATATTTATACTTATCGTCAAGAAAAAAGTAGAACTGATTAAATGATTAGATTGCTTGATTTAGATGAGACACTCTATATACAACAGTCGAAAGGAATAAAAAAAAAGAATATTCAATGATGATATTCCAACAATGAAGATACATCAATGGGACGTTCGTTGCTCTCATTATTCGACAAATATCCTAGAGCGAATGTTCATTTACATACAATTATTTTCCTTGGTGAACAAGGAGTGCACCTTTGTTTAATTAAGCTTCGTGTCTTGTTCCTATTACTCCTCGAGGTAGTTAAAAATTTAGCAATTTTTCTCGAACTTTATAATCCTTAAAGCTTCACAACAAACAATCACCTTATTTGTTCATGAATCTTACACTATATCGACATTTTATAGTACTTACTAACAATTAAAAGAAACGAAGAAAAATTATGTAAAAAAATATATGTATATGTATATATATAAAAAAGAAGATTAAAATTCTCGAAATTTGATTATCAAATCGACCTGGGATAAATTGGAACACGAATGATCTTTACCTACATTTTAGATGACAACAACGACGGCCGAAGTCGAACAAATCGAACAAAATGCACTCTTGTTAAAAAAAAAAAAAAAAAAAAAAA